CATCGTCAGCAGTTACAGTTTTTGTCGTGTCTAAAAATACAAAATTACCGTATGTTGAACTTAAGATAATAAAGTCTAAAATATTGAGTCTAGAGACAATTTCCTAAGACACCGTGTAAATGAAGGAAAATTTTGTTTGCGACCTGAGGGCATATCTGTGAATTTGTATAAGTATTTATGATTTATGGCAATAATCAATAAATTTAAAAACTATTGAAGTTTAGCCGACCGGAAATACATTCTATGCATGATGCATCGGAGATACCGCGTTTTTTTAGAGTTTTTCACAAGGGGGAACAAACTGATTTCCATACTAGAAGTTACAAGAAATTATGATGAATCAATAGAAATCACAAGAAGTTATGAAAATGAAATTAGAAATGAAGAAATCAGTTTGTTCCCCCTTGGATAGACCGGTAAGAAGTTGGTAGTTACCGGTCTGAAGTCTGGACTGGTAATGGTTCCATGTATGTGTACAACCTTAACTATGCTTATTAGTCACAAACAGATGTGTAGTTAAGAAAGAAACTTACGTACTACCTGATATATTAAAATTTACGAACATAACGAAGATATCCTTGTTTTACGATGATCTTCTTTAATGCACGATGGATGTAACAGTGATTCAATACAATACTAAGACTATAACTAATAGGAAATAGCTTTGGTGTACTTAATTCTAAATCTCGAATTGCACCAGAAAAATATTAATATAAAATGAAGGCTTTTATTCCAACTTGTGGATGTAAGTGTGAGTTTGCTTCTTGTTTAATCACATCTACACCCTCAAGAGAGATTCAAAACACTCTTATATATCTCTATAAACTTCTTCTAAATCTGTTCTAGATTCGAATCCGACTCGAATCGATGACCGAAAGTTTTTAGAATCGTATCTGCACTCGATAAAACTACAACTGCAGAACGCACACTCAGATCCAGGTCTCGCCCAGCAAGCCCTAATGAAAACACAGACAGTACATATCACTCATTGTGTGTTCCGCGTCTTCATAAAAATACGCATCTCTCAAAACCGTCTCTCAAGCGAAAAAAATGCAGAAAAAGCTGCATCGTCGGGAGTGTATTATAAGATAGTGTAGCATCTCTAGCAACTCCGATATCCCGAATATTTGACACCTCTGGTGTCTCCTAATGCTTACGAGATAGTCCTACAACTTCTGTTCAATAACAAGATTTCTCAAAACACACTAACAGTGTTTTAAACTTTGGTGTCTTCAATTTATTTTGCTGTAACGTTGTTAATAATAATATAGGGGTATGTTATGCTTGCCATAGCACTTCTATTTATATTCTATACTTTTACTTCTGACCTCAGAAAAATCATTATTTAATTTATTTGCATCGTTTACCTGCACGTCGCGTACGCTTGATACGAGCTAGCGAATCTTGTACTTCACCATCATTAATACTTGAGTTATTGAAACTGCCGTTCGAGTGCCGATCCCAAATGAAGCCATCTTAATAAATTAATCAGAAAGAGAATAATACAACCGTATTTTTAGTGCTAAGGCTAAGGATCTCTATTTTCGAGTGTTTTTAATAAGCTCAAAAGGTTACGAGATGAGAACTTGAAGAAAGCTTAACTTTTCCTTTCCTGATCGTACGTGCACCGAGCTTCTTCGGTTCAGATTTCAACCTTCAAATTCATCTATCTGACGGAGCTGAGTTCTAATTTGATAAATCAACTATATGAGTAGCCATTTTTGATCACTCTTGATTTAGCCCCTAAAGCCTCTCCAAATATGTTTCTTTATTACTATGCAGCTAGTAGAGGTGCTACATTGCCATTACCTATTACTTCTTTCTCAGTGTTTTTGATTTTTCACAGTTTTGGTGTGCCTCGTAACGTACGCGAGTCGTCGCTTTTTATTCCTAATGGTACTAGTGTCTTATATCGAAACTAATTCAAAAAAAATTCAGAAAAAGTAATAAAAATTATAATCGACCTTCACAACGTTTTTCACCAACCAACGCTGGAAGACAAATACAGAAAATGCATCATTAAACGAATTAGCAGTATAATCCAGTTTGAACAAGAACTAATCGAATGTTACTTAATGCACAAGAATATAGTAAATGCAATAAGTCGTTACTATCTAGAAGAACCATGTATTCAAGTAATACCAAGAGGTCGACCCAGCATACGCATGCCAACATTTTATGAAAACTCCTCAACATACTTTGATAAACTCATCCTGTTTTGCGATGATCGAAGGAGAAGAATAAATCAATAAACAGATGTTAAATTGACTTTCCGTCTCCTACTAAACCGAAATCATCCCCTCCTCGTTCCGTTTTCTGTCTAATATCTAATTCAATTTTTTTGTGCTGATGAATGAATTTACTGTCATTTTCTCAGTACTTAAAGTGGCCAGGACTATCAGGGTCAAATCACTCAAAATAAAGCTATTTATATAAAATTAAAGTAACAATGTTTTAAGGATTAAAAATAATAGTTATGGTAATGTAGCATCCGTAGTAGCTAACCATTCGGTTGTTTCCTGTTGAAACACTCAATAATCAGTTTTTGTCAGAAAACACATTCGTAGAAACCTGATTATTCAAAAGCAAAGATACATCATAACTGTCTGTAAGACAACCAATGAAGATACCTTTTGGTGTGTTGACATCTTGAAGGTTATGCACAAACTACCCTCGTAGACGTGAAGTATGAGATACTAAAAAGTCGCTTCTTAGATAAACTATATACTGTTTGACCCGCTGTACTGGAAAAGCTTCCTTCTTTAATTCGAAGAATCTGTTAGGTACAATGGAGTATAATCGCAACTTTTCAATGCAGTTCTTCTGGAAAACCTACGGCTTCTCTTATAAATGTCGCTTACCTCGACGATGTCCGGCATAAGTAGTCAGATTGAAATTTCCACCATCACCAATACTACGATGGACCCAACATTCATGCGAGTCTCGTATCCATGTGAAAGCATTACAATCGTCATCTTGAGAACATTGAACACAACAGTCTGCATTAGTAGATTGCATTATTGCGTTGCCAAAATCAGTTTGACGGTAGTCCCAATTCTCTTTTACGATGAAATCAGTACATCTCTCATACGGTAAGAGAGTGACCTCGCGTAGAAGAAATATGAAAATAAGCTGTTTCATAGACATGTTCGAATAAAATAGGTTCCTGAAAATATTAAAAGAAAAAGACGAATACAATCAGCTGAAAATAACATCAAAAAATCGTTTCCGACGACGATATTACAGAGCCCAAAAATGAATCAAAGGAGACAAAGCAAAAATTATTTATGCTAGTTCTATATGGGCACGGCCAGCTAACGGTCCCCTTCACTGAGGGTAAGGTTTAAAATCAGTAATATACAGAAAATGTTTTTTACAGTGAGTATGATCTTGAAATATTATTAAGGTTGTTCTACATTCCGAGTTACTCAGCTGACATATAAAACCAATATTATTTGTCTTTCTTACGAGTTTAAGAGCGTGAATAATTATAAAATTTCGCTCTTTTTTCATTTTTCTTTTTTGCCAAAATAGTGAATGAAATTTTCAATGAAATTTTGAAAAACAAAATGAAAATGAACTAATCGATCTATAGAAAACAACATTCTTAGTTATTACAGAATAAAAAAAGTTCGATTTCATAGTTAAAATTATCATAAAAATGGCACTGAACTGTTCTCCGTGGAAAAAGAGAAAATTCTTGAAATTCTTTAACGCTCGGCCTTTTAAGTCGCCTTATTCGAAGCGATTGTCTTATAGCGAAAACGACATAATATTCTAACAGCTCGTGAAAAACTGAACAACTTATGTATAGAATATTCATTTATGAGTCGGTTAGTTTCGAAGAAAAATGTTAAAATTTGAGTCTTCCGTCAAAGTTTTGCCCATTTTTTGAAATTCCGTAACGAACGGTGTTTTTCAAATAATTCCATTATGACTCGCCACAAGTCAGTGAAATTTTTAGTGCTAGTAGAGCTAGTCATTCTATATATATACCAAGAATTTCAGAAACATCTCTCTTGTAATTGAGGAGATATATATCTCATATATTGAAAAAATGAAATTCCGTAACGCTTGGCCATACCCATATATAGCTTCTTTTTTTCGTCTACATTGCATATTAGAAAGAGTCGAGAATGACTAATAATAAAATGAGTGTGAGATAAGGATGTTCAGACAGGTATAACTGACACTAGGATGTTGGTGTGAAGCGTGGGTATGTATATCTATCTGATCACTCATATTCGTAATCTCACACCCTCAAAAATCTTATACAACTTGAGGAACTGCTTTTTAATCTCAGAGAAATTTTTCTCAGGGTTAATTTCAGATATCTTTCGTTAACAAAATGTGGGTAAATACAAGAAGAAGAGCCGAACACCAGATACCTAAACAAGAAAAAATGATTTTTCTTACGGTTATGAAGATTTTTCTTCCAACGGAAGCCAATAAAGAGACCAAATATAACGATATTGAAATAATGTGATGTTAAGTATATATATTAACGTATGCGACAATAATAATTAAAGATATTTGCTTGTCTTCCTTAAATCTGAATATAAAAGGAAATCTTCAAAACTGTAAACAAGTAAAACAGAAAATTATATAATAGTAGGTACACGTCTTCTATGGAATTTCACTCGATGTTACACTATTGCTTTCTCTGACTTAGGAAATTTTTCTTCAAATTTCATAATTTAATATGCAAAGAGACTAAAAATTATCCACGAAAATAGAAAACTCATACCTTCTTAAACTTCTGTTGGACTATATACCTAGTCTTTTTCGTAACGGCGAAGCCTTTTTCTAAGGTCAGTAGACCACCAATCTTTTTTAAAGTGTATTCAACTAAGTTACATCGATGCTGAACAGAATATCGACAGCTAATTTAATATAAGACAACAGTTTGAATGTAGTACGCAAGGAGTTATTATCTAAAGTAAGTCGTAGAATAATCTGAAATATTCTTCTCTATGATACTAGCGAAGAGAAAAATATGTGTCCGCTCGGTTGTTGCTACGATATGGAAATTTCTTATTGCGTTATAAACTAAAGTAAAAAACAATGTACTGACAGTGAATTCTGAGAAAAATACGCTTCGTAGTATTTAGAAATGTAATAACAATGGTAAAAAGAGAGATAAAATTTTCAAAATAGTAGATGCAATGCATAGAGAAACTTCCATCTTAACGATAGAAAGAAAGAAAAAATACGTTTCCCAATGTCTAGACGTGTAATAACGATGATAGAAAAAGAAATAACATTCTCAAAATAGTACATATAATGCATAAAAAAACTTCCATCTTAACGATAGAGAGAAAGAAAAAATACGTTTCGTAGTATTTAGAAGTGTAATGGCAATAATAAAAAAAAGAAATAACATTCTGAAAATAGTACATGCAATGCATAGAGAAAC